CCTATACGGGTATGTGCCACCATGCCTAGCTCATAGTCAGTGTCTTTAATTTGGCTCTAAGGATGTTTGGGAACTTACATCTCTTAGATTTGTCATGGTGTTTAAACCAGCTGACATTTACCCTTAATTCCTGTCACTGTCCTGAGTGTTTTGCACAGCCTGACTCTCCTCAGCCTCTCAGTACCCCATGGTTACAGCCACTTTGCAGGTTCTGAATCTGAGTCCCAGAGAAGGTAATACCGTCCTTGCTCAAGATCACATAATTAACAAGTGGCTGAGCTGGGCTGTAACCTTAAGCTTCAGGGGCCTCATGCTTAACTTCCTCCCTTTATTACAGTCTCTTGTAGCAAAAGTCCATTTTCCTTAAAAAACAAAAACAAAAAACACCCCACTGGAACACCCCACTGTGAGCCAGGCATGGTGGTTATCCCAGCACTCTGGGAGGCTGAGGCAGGGGGACCACAAGTTCAAGCCTAGCCTGGGCAACTTAGCAACTTAGTGAGACCCTACCCCCCCCCAAAAAATGTAAAAGGGCTGGGGTGTAATTCCCAGTACTGGGGCAAAAAATCTACATGTGGGAAGTCAGTGGTATATTTCAGTTGTGTCTATAGTATGGGAGACTTAACAGATATGGGAAGACATCAAGACATGGCCATGGAGTGTTTATGTGTTGTGGTACACATGAATAAAGGTTACACATATGGCAAGAGGTCCTTGGGCTCACTTCTTGGCCATGCTACCAGTAAGCCTCAGACCTTTGACAAGCCACTTAAGCTTCTCAAGCCCCATTTTTTCCACCTGCAAAATGGGATTAGCATGCTCTATCTCAGAGTATGGTTGTGGGGATCAGTGAGAATATGAGTATTAAAGTGGACTAGATATTGAAAAGCACCACCTACTTTTCAGGTAATTATCATTAAGAATAAAGGCTGGAGGGTCTGGGGATTTAGCTCAGTGGTGCTACCACCTGCCCACAAGTGGAAGGTCCCAAGTTCGATCCCCGGTTTAAAAAAAAAAAAAAAGGCTGGAGATGAAGAAGGACACCGTAATCGCGAGTCAGGCAGGGGTTATCTGGCCTATACACAAGAGGGCTGCTTTCTCACATCCTCCAGCTCCCTGATGCTGCTGGCACTACTCATGCCTGGTGCCTGGTCTTAGAGCCCTTTCTTTGATTCTATCAGTCAGGTGCTTTGTTGTAAACAACAGCTACCTGAAGTTGGAAATTAATTTATGAAAGGAGATAGTGAACATTAGGTTGTAATTTTGGAAGGAATAGAGATCTAGAAATCAGGTCTGCTACCTACCACTGGAGACTTTCTCTATCAGAAGCATTACTGTCTTTGGGCACAAAAACCTCTGCCATTGCTGTCCTCAGAAAACCCACTTGGCTCCACCACTCCCCTTGCTTGCAGAGGCAGAGTCCCCCTGTGAACACTGCTGACTTCTGAATTCAAGTCTGTTATCAGTGAGTCTGAGAGGTGGAACCCAGAGCAGTGTTCATGTCCCAGCTGCAGGAGAGTCAGAGCACATGAGTTTTCTGTCTGGGTGAGAAGATATATAATGTGGGGAATGAGCAAGACACGAAAGAAGTTTCAGAGGTTTGGGCGGCCAGAGATGACAAATATAGGCTACACTGTTTTGTTCCTAACATATTGGATTGGGATATAGTGATTCTAGGGAATTGCTATGAGCGGAGTTCAACCCTAAAAGGCTTCCAGCCTGTTTGTTGGGAACCCAGGGAGAAATGGATTTGTATCTCCAAATCTGGGTGTTATGGTAGGATGGTTCGGGCTCCTTTGGACAAGGAGACAGGCAATGTGGTAATGTAATTCCAGACAAGCATCCTAAGGAATCATCCAGTAAGGTAGGAGATTCAAGTCAGACTAGACTGTGTTGGAAGATGTAAGGGGTGGATGCCATTCCGAGCTTGCCAGGCACTGGCTTTGGCCTTTGCTGTTATCTTTTCTGTCACCATTTGAGTGTCCACAGGCTCTGAGCTGGGATCTGACACACACCTGGAGTGGCTGTCCTTTGTGGTTACAAAAGATGCTCTCTTGTCACAGAATGAAGACCGTCACTGGGAACATACTATAGGGGACTGACAAGTACAGATGCATGGGAGGCTGGGTGTTAAATCTGTAGGCATAATGAAAGCATACAACCTGTTTAATAAGATTAGCTGGTAGGAGACAACTGGGGCGTGTCAGCATCTTACTTACCCTACCTGGAATGAGAGATGAACATGGGCTTCTAAAGGCCCTTTAGGGGGAAATTTTACTCCATCATCCCAGCTGGGTAAAAGAATAGAGGAAAGTGCTTGTGAGGGGTGGAGACAACTATTACTGACTCTGGGTTAGGAGGGGGTCTTCTACTGGGCCCTAGGAGAGGAGGACCTGTGCTTAGCATACTCTCTGGGGTGGGATCCCCAAAGGGACCAGTCATATCTTCAGTGTACCAATGGGTCCTAGATTGGCAAGACCCTCCACAGGCTGTCACAGAACACAAGTGGCTGCTGTCTGACTTTATAGGCTATAAGAGGGGCTGACACCCTGATGTCAAGGATAGACTGAGGGTCAGGGAGCCCTCTGCAATGTTCTCTAGAGGAGAAGTCGCCAAGATTCTTGAGGAAGTGAAGATACGGCAGTAATAATACTCAGGCTAGAGACTTAGAACCAAGTTACCTGACTCAGAGCAATAAAGGATGGGGACAATGAATTTGTTTGGTAGGGTTGCTGTGACAAAATACCATAAATGGAGTTTATACTGGATATTTATTTTCTCACAGTTCTGGGGGCCAGAAGTTTGATGTCAAAGTGTTCCTCTGAAGATGCTAGGGAAGGATCTGTTCCAGGCCCCTCTCCCAGGTTCTGGTAGTTCCTTGCTTGGCTCAAGGCAGCATAACTCCTTCACACTATCACATGATGTTCTCCCTGTGTGCATCTGTCCAAATCTCCCCTTTTTATAAAGGATGCATCATGTTGGATAAAAAGCCTACTGTATTCCAGTATAGTCTTATTGTAACATCTGCAACGACTTTATTTCTCAATAAGGATACATGCTGAGGTACTAGAGGTTAAGATTTCAACACAGAAATTTTGAGGGACACACTTCAACCCCCAATAGATGGGTCTCGCATTCTGAATTTTGGACACAATTCACATGTGGCTGACTCTTATAATGTAATTCTTTTCACCTTCTAACCACCCTGTGAATTTTAAGATAGTGTGGGGGGGGCTAGAGTTTAACTACCCGGAGCCAGGGCGGTCCGTTTCCACATACCAGTGATGCCCAGCAGTGCCTAGCTGGGTTGGCAGCCTGCTTCCCAGCTGTGACCACGACAGGATGACAGTCCTCCCCAAAGCTCCGTGTCTCAGCTGAAATGGGAAAATGATAGCTCCCTGAGATGAGGCAGGGGTATGGAGGGGCTCATCTAGCACAGGGGCCAGGAGCACAGGACAGAGTGGGTATAGCAGCATCTAGCTCCCTTTTCCTCTTCCCTGGGAAGGCTCTGCATGCAGAAACTCTTTCCGAGGGTGGCGCTGAGACCCTAACCAGGGAGGGCATCAGAAGGGTGAGTACACGATCAAGGCCATAGGGCCTGTTCTTTTCCACTCCCCTTGCTGACCTCTAGCCCCTTGTAGGGCTGGGACAGTCCACCTGCTGTGTCCATCAGCTCCATTTATGTGTATCCTAAGGATCTAGGGACAAATAAGTATCAAGTGGCTCTTAAGGGCCCAGCCTTGTTCTAGGTGCTCAGTTGCAGGGACCCAGAGAAGGTCAGACTGGGCTCCAGTGGCTCCTTCCAAAGACCTTTGTCCTTGAAAGAGGTACGTCCTCAAGGGGTGGAGGGGGGAGGAGAGGAAATAGGGACACTGAGCCACTGGATCTTGGATACAGCTATGGAACACCCCTATCTGAGCCCGGTCTGGCCACAGATGGGAAAACTGAGTTCCAGGGAGGGGAGATACTAAGCCAAGGTCAAATGTTGGGTGATGCTGGGCACAAGAGGCCAGGCCTACAAAGGGCATCAGCTGTACTGGGACTTCAGGGGGTGGTGGTGGGTCCTGCGCCGTCCGTTCCTAAGGCTGGAAGGGCTTTCATCTGCAGAGGGGTCACTTCCAGAGCTCTAGATCAGAGGAGAAGCTAAAAGCAAGGTGGAGGAGAGTGTTTGGGGGATTGTGGGAATCTGGGGCCCTGAACCACCCCCAGCAAAGCGGGTGCCAGAAGAAGGGGCGGGCTGGCAGGTGGGGTCCTGCAGGGCCCAGGCCGGCCGGGTGGATGAGTCACCGTCCGTCCGCCCGCTCCCATTGT